TTATTTTTTAATTTTTACCACTTAAATTATGACGTATATTTGTTATTAGGAATTTAGTGCATACAATTAATGACATAAGAATAAAATAAGGGGTTGGAATTTGGATTTGAGTAAAAAATAAGAGGTGTTTGGTGTATATGAATGATGGTTGTGGTACATAAAGTGAGACGATTAAGGAAGAGTTTGGCCTATTTTGGCAACATGGTTTGTAGTCACTTTTTTTAGTTTGTAGCAAAAGTCAAAAGTTAGCTTTTTTGTCTTTTTTTTCATTTGGGATGTTGGTTTTTAGCCAACGGTGAAATTATAATTTTATGGGTCAAAATGTGTTACATATGTGAAGTTGTAAATATTTTAAATAAATGGGGGTAGTTTGGTCATTTTATTATGATTTGACATCATAAACAAACATTAATAAAAAAAGTAAAAAGTCACTTTTTACCAACTTTCCAAATCATTTGTCTAAAAAAGCCAAAAACTTGGTTAAAAGCCAAAAAACCACTTTTTACCATCTTTCCAAAATAAAGGAACACTAAAAAGTTTGAGAGTGAATTTGAATAAGAGAAAAATAAGGGGTTGGAATTTGAATTTGAATTTGGATTTGGATTTTGCAGTTTGAGTTTTGAAAAATAAGGTACATAAATTGATTTTTGAAGTAAATTGAGAAAAGTTATAAACAGTAAGACTAATGTAAAAAATATATATATAAAAAAAAATTAAAGACTAGAGTGAATCTTATGTAGGGGAAAAATAGCCTTTTTTTTTATATAATAAATTGCAAAAAAAAAAAAAAAATTACGAATGTTTAGGGCTAAAATAGAAAAATATTTCGGTGATTACCGAAATTAGACGATCAGAGCTTTCTCTTTGCATGGCTGTCAAGTTAACCTCTTGGTTGTTTACCTTGAAGTTCCTGTTGGGCTCTTGAATTTAGTTTTGAAGGATTTGGCAAACTAATGTTAGAGTTCTTTATCCTCAAAAAGAGGTGGCTTACCCCATAATCATTTTATTTTTTTTCTCACAAATATCACATCCAACCACAAAAAAATCCAACTAAAATTTTTTCTCCAATAATATCCTACAATTAAAAAAACCTACAAAAACAACTCACTTTTCAAACACCCACAATGTATAACTTATCTAACAAAAAGTATAACTTTAGTTATACAAAACTTTTAAAATACACATCATAACTTCAAAATTCATAATTTTTATCGTAAATACCGTAACTTTCTTATTACAAAATCTTTAATTTCTCTTACAAAAAATAAATTTTTTTCCATAATATGCACTTGCGCATTATAACGCTCTAGCTTTTGCCAAGGCCGTCCTTCTGGGTTTTCAACCTTGCGAGCTTTGTTTTTCCTTTCTTTTCATTTCTTTTCTGATTTTCTTTTTTTGTTCTTCCAAACGACGTCGTTTTGGACCTTTTTTTTTTTTTTCTTTTCTTCTTCTTCTTCTTTTGCTGTTCACCCTCTTTCTCACTTCATCACTTTCACTTCACAATGAGCCAAAACACACCACAGAACTTTAATCAAAACCAGTAACCTTAACCAAAAAAAAAAAAAAAAACAAAAAAAGAGAAGGCTTTTAACAGTTCTGAGAAAATGGTTTTGATTAATTGAGAAGACTTTGGGGACTTGATTAATGGAGTACAGAAATGAGCCTAAGAAAGAGAAGACTTGTCGGAGGCCGATCTCTTCACGGCGATGCCGATCGGAACAGATCTGAGACCATTGGAGCAGATCGGAGGAAGTTCGAACATCCTGAACAACTTCGAAACAACTGTGGAGGAAGATAGAGAGAGGTTTTGATTTGTATGCACCATGTATATCACATATATATATATACATATATACGATCTCAAATCTAAGGTGATCAGAATCGCAGTACAACAAAGATGGAGGGGTAGAGTTTGAGCCGAGCTCTGTGATGTTTTGGCTCCTTGTGAGATGAAGTGAAAAAATGGGTCAACAGCAAAAGAAGAAAGAACGAAAGAAGAAGAAAAAGAAAAAAAAAAAAAAAAATTTCTCCAAAAACATGAAAATTACATCAAGTACAATAAATCAAAGGCTTTGGGAAGTTTGGCATAGATGTAAATGAGTAATAGTATAATAGACATTATCTATAAAAACAAACACAACACTAATTTGGCCCACTGAGTTTATTTTTAGATTTATTTTTTAATAATTTAAATTGTTTATATTTAAAAATTTGTTGAGTATATTATTTCTGTAAATAATTGCATTGATCAGATAATAAATATTATCTATACGGATTACTTTTTTTATAAATCGTTACTTTTTTGACTGTTTATTTTTTTCAGACAAAAGTGATCCGAATACATAGTATCCGTTATTCAATTAACGTGATTTTTTTACAGAGATAATGTACTCAGAAAACTTTAAAATATGAATTGTTCAGATTATCAAATGGAGTCCAATAAGTCAAACAGAACTAGAAAAAATTTGTTGAGTACATTATTTCTGTAAATAATTGCATTGATCAGATAATAAATATTATCTATACGGATTACTTTTTTTATAAATCGTTACTTTTTTGACCGTTTATTTTTTTCAGACAAAAGTGATCCGAATACATAGTATCCGTTATTCAATTAAAGTGATTTTTTTACAGAGATAATGTACTCAGAAAACTTTAAAATATGAATTGTTCAGATTATCAAATGGAGTCCAATAAGTCAAACAGAACTAGACTATCCCAGATCTGAATTGGATAACGTTCAGGCCTTCTTTTAAAACTATTAATTAATTAAAATTTGACACACAAAAAAAAAGAAGAAGAAGGAAATAAATTTACTATTTTGCATCGTTTGGAAATTGGTTTTGTAGGCTTTTTTGGCTATTTTAGTCATAAAAGACAAAATAGACTATTTTAGCCACAAAAAATAAAATATCAATAAAGAAAAAAGATAAAGTATAAATATATTCTCTGAGATTTTATTAAAATACGAATCGCTTTCTATAGTTTTGAAAATTACATTCCACTCTTTGAGGTTTCTAATTTCATAACAAATTGTCAATTTTATTAATAAATTATCAAATCAATTAACAGTTTTTAATGATATTAGAAATATATTTTAATTAATAATTTAAGTAATTTATTATTGTATAGGAGAGTAATTATAATTTTATTTTTTAAAAATAATTCTGTTAAATAAGAAAAATTTAAAAACATATTCGTAAGTAAGAAATAATTTATAATTGAAACAAATCTCAGAAAATATAATTGTAAATTAAAAAGAAAATGAAGATGTCATTATTATTAGATAACAGGACAAAAAGAAAAAAAAAAAAAAAAAGAGAGAGAGAGCCAACCTAACTTAGTTATCTTAGCATCCAGTATTCCTGATGCTTGCTACACCTATGCTATTGTTGGACCAGGGGCTCTGATTATTCTTTTTATTGGAGGGTCTAATTTTTTCCATTGAGTTTATTTTTAGATTTATTTTTTAATAATTTAAATTGTTTATATTTTAAGATTTATTAAGTATATTATTTTTGTAAATAATTACATTGATCAGATAATAAATATTATTTATTCGGATTACTTTTTTTTTTATAAATCGTTAATTTTTTGACCGTTTAGTTTTTTTCAGGCAAAAGTGATCTGAATACATAATATCCGTTATCCAATTAACATGATTTTTTTACAAAGATAATGTACTCAAAAAACTTTAAAATATGAACTGTTCAGATTATCAAATTGAGTCCAATAAGTCAAACAGAACTAGACTATCTCAGATCTGAACTGGATACCGTTCAAGCCTTCTTTTAAAACTATTAGTTAATTAAAATTTGACACACAAAAAAAAGAAAAGAAAAAAAGAAGGAAATAAATTTACTATTAACTCTGAGGCACCGTTTGGGAAGTGATTTTGTAGGTTTTTTTGACTATTTTAATTACAAAAAACAAAATAAATTATTTTAGCCACAAAAAATAAAATATCATATTCAATCCATAATCATTACACTTTTTTTCACAAAAAAAATAAAAAGAGCCAAAAAACTAAAAAACTCTTCCAAAACTAAACTTTTTAACTCAAATTAAAATAATCAAAAAAATAAAAAATAAACCCACTTTCCAAACCAACTCTGATTGCAGAGGGAGTCACATAAATGACACATCTTTCGTTCTTATGTCTTGGTAATTGCTACTTTCTCCTCTATATAAACACCCTCAAATAATATACTATAATATATAATATCTCTGCAACCCTCTTTGGACGGTTATGATTCATATATCCTAGCTATATATGAATAAATGTGTGAATATCTATATCTTTATATTTATGGTTATGTCTCCTCTATGAGTTTATATGAGTTTAGTTTCCTTGTTTGTTTTGCTTTCCCGGAAATTTGAAACATGGGTTTCAGTTGAAGAGATGGGAAAGTTTTCCGGTTCTCTAACATTTTGTTTGGTCGCCTAATTTTATACGTTTTTCCGAACTTGAAAACATTCTCAGCATTTTCTTGGGGTTTCTCTTTCTCATAGATTGCGTGAATCTCGGTGGGATTTGCGGGGAATTTGGCAATCACATGTCATTTCCCGGGAAAATATAAGTTTGTGAGATTTTTGCTTGATGGGTTATTTTGATTTGGTTTGAATCGTCGCTACTTTTTGTGAAGAGGGAGGGTCTTTTGACTTTTGGGTGTGCTTTGAGTTTTATTCAAGGGTAAGTAGAAAAGAAAATTGAGAATTTTCTGGTTTATAGTTTTTCATGAGAAAATCTAGCCGGAACCCGAAATTTCAGGTGATCGGAAAAGGGTTTGAATTCATGACATTGCCAACAATGAACTCTTTTCTTTCCCATCAATTTAGAAAAGTTTAGAGAGAGAAATTGAAATTTTTGTCCTATAAATTTGCTGTCTAAATGTCAAAAAATAGAATTATTGGAGACCGATTTGCATCTCTCTCTCTTCAAGAGGGATAGGCACATCCCGACAATCTCTCCCCCCCTCTACAATTATAAATATATTCTTTCCCTCCCCTCCCTCTGTTTTTCTTTGTTCTGTGGGCTTCCTCTGTTTTCAGGGTTTTGAGAGAGAACCAGCGAAATCTCTCTCCCCCTCTTACTTTCTCTCTGATTTTCTTTCTCTTTCTCACTCAAATTATGATTCTCGACAAAGGGTCAGTGCAATCGAACCTTGATTGCTTCCTCGATTGCACAACACCAGTGGTCCCATCCCAGTTCCTACCGAAGGTTTGTTTTCTCATTTCAACATTTTCCTTAAATCTTTTTGATGCAAATGTAATAATGATTGTTTCACGTGTCTAATGATTGATTGATGATGTTTGTGTAGAGCGAGATCAGAAACCTTAACAGGCTTTGGCACCCTTGGGAGAGGGAAAAAGTTGAGTATTTTACATTGGGTGATCTTTGGAATTCTTTTGATGAATGGAGTGCTTATGGTGCTGGAGTTCCGATCAGTGTGGACAATGGAGAAACCCTAATTCAGTACTATGTGCCTTACCTCTCTGCAATCCAAATCTTCACGAGCAATTCGTCGGCGAACAGTTTAAGGTATCAAGTTCATTCTCTACATTTGTATATAAACATTTTTAATTAGTTGGAGCTTGTGCACTGGGTCGCTCTGGCTTTTTATTTGTAATTTGATGCAATTTGGAGCAAAGATTATTTGTTGTGATTACAAAGTTGTTTAAACTAATTAATTGTGAACTTTTATTCTACTTTGCCATCATATCTTATTCTATTATAGTTGGTTTTAAGGTTGATACAATTTTGTTATTTAATTGCTTGGAACCATCATATGGCTCAGTCAAAAACTTTTCCCAGTTTGGTGATTTTTTTTTTTTAATTTTTGGTATTAATTATAATTGTATTGAGATGCACCAATCCCGTTGTTGATTGTTTGGTGTTTATTGACATTGGTAATTAAAAAAGCATTTATAATATAGTATTGTTTGGTTTATTCACTTCTAAGTCTTGATATGGAGTGGCTATGCTGAACGAAATCGTGGGGAGCCTTTTTCAGGGAAGAGACTGAGTCGGTTTGTGAGACGAGGGACTCATTCAGTGACTCATTCAGTGATGAGAGCGAGAGCGAGAAGCTATCGAGATGGGATGGATGTTCCTCTGAGGATGGAGTGTTTGAGCAAGAGAGCTTTTGGCATCTGAATGACAGACTGGGTTACCTATATTTTCAGTATTTTGAGAGATCAGCTCCTTATGGAAGAGTTCCTCTCATGGATAAGGTACTCTTTTATATGTTTATTTTGCTATACATAGCAATTAACTTATTTAGGTTCTTTGCATTCATAACATTTGCTCTGTTTTTACCTTTCTTTTGGGTATATAATTTTTTTTATTAACATTTACTCTGTTTTTACCTTTCTTTTGAGTTATTTAATTTCCATCAATAATTGAACATAGGAGTAAGGAAAATTGTTCTGGATATGTTAGAATCATTTGACATTCTAATAATGACAAGCATCTGATAAAGATTTATTGAAAATTTTGACTTCGAATCAACAAACTTGTTTTGCTCCTACCGGTTGGTCGCAATTATGTTTCATTTTGATTCTATTATCTCTCTCTCTCTTTCTCTCTCTCTATATATATATATACGGTGTGAATAAAAATAAGTGAATAAAAAGGACAAAATAAAAAAAAAAAACAAATAGATAAAAAAATAAAAATGGGAGAAAATAAAAAAATAAAAAGAAATGGGGAAGGAAGGTGGAATCAGGGAATTATGGAAAGATGGGTGAGAAGAGGAAAAAGTAAGAGAAAAGCGGGAAAGTAGAAAATGTACATGTAAGATATTTTTTGAAAAATATATCTTAGCCATTGTTTTATAATTTAAAGAGATCTGAGCCATTCAAATGACCTAGTAGGACAAAAATATGTTAAAGATTTAAAAACTGTCATGTTTTATTTTATAGATATGTATATATATATGCACACACTAGTAGAAAACGCCCGTGCAAGGCGCTTGCTACTATTGTGGTAGATTTGGATTTAAAAAATACAATTGTTTTTAGTCTTTGACTAAGAGTATTCTCCCATAAAATTGAATGAAATCTAAAAAGTACGAACACTTCTAAAAAGGCGGCGTGCCCATGTGGTGTTCGTGTCGAACACTTCCCAACATGTGTCCGACACTCATCCAAACGTGTCTTTTTTTTTTTTAATTTTAATTTTAGAGTCAGACACTTTAGGACACACATGTCGGTTACTTAAATACATGTATCTATTGATTAGACACACAGTTAATTATAAGTTTGAACAAAATAACTTAGAATATGATGATAAAAGAAAAACAATGTCAATTTATAAAAATTAGTATTATATTGCATTTATTTATTGTATTGGAATGATATAATTATATATATGATACATAATATATATATATATATATATTATGTGCGTATTCTCCAATTGTCATGTCCTGCATTTTTTTTAAAAAATTGTCATGTTGACTTGCCCGTGTTATGTCATGTCTCCATTCTTCTTAGAATGAAATAGAGGATTAAATATACGATATAATTATGGATAGTAATATATAAGATAAGTTGTACCGTGGGATAAATACACGAGATAAAGAATTATAAAAAAAAGAATAAATCTTATTATATTATGCGGGTGTTTGAAAAGTTGCTCTTTTAGTAGGTTATTTTAATTTTTGGTTATTTTAGTAGGTTAAAATTTTTGTATTTGGGAAGATGATTGGATTTTTTTGTAGTTGGATATGATGTTTGTGAGAGAAAAAACGAAATGATTATGAGTTTTATATGACATTTTGTCTTATTAACTATTTTAGTCTATTTTATCTTTTTGTAAATTTTAGCTTAAACCAGACTATAATTTTTCTTGCCAAAAACCCCCTATGTTTGATTAGGATGTGATAAAAATATTTTACTTTCTTCTATTGGATGGATGCGGGAAATAATTGCTTAAGAGCATCTCCAGCCAATATGTCATTGCTTGGTGGCAACCCAAAGTAACAATTTTTGACATCTATACGTACTGTAAATCAAGTTCTCATTTGAGTAGGCAACATTTGATATTTCTCTACCCATGTTGAATTTGACATACGGAGGAAGTAAAATGTATTTATTTTTTATTCTCTTATTATGTGAAACCCATATCAACTGATTTTTGTCAAAATTTTGAAACATGAACTGAAATAAAAAAGGATTAGAATTAAAAATATAATAAAATAATTAGTTTGAAATAGTGATTGGAGTGTTTATTTTTAAGACGTCAAATTAAAAGATATAAAGTTACCAAAAGAAGCCAAAAAAATAGAAGAAAGAAATCAAAAGTCAAAAAAATGGGTGATTGTTGTAGATTATAGATGATAGATAATAAAACAAAAACTGAGTATTTGGGGTAAAAATGGTCCCAAAAAGCTGTCATGAACGGACCGTCTATCTGCACGCCCACATCAATATCTACCAAACAAAAAATTATTGTTCCATTAGTTGATCTGAATAAATGATTTTTGTTCATAGGCCTCCGAGAATATAAGGGAGGCGTACGAAGGTTCTCTCTTAAATAACAGTGGATTTTTTCTTTCGATTTTTCCCCCTAGATAGAAGACAATAAAATTTGTCCTGTAGTTAGAGGGTAATTTTGACAAAAGAAAGTAAAAAGCGTGAAGCTATTGTAGTAAAGAGGACTTGTTTCCTTAATTAAAAAGGAAAAAATGGACTAAGAAACTATTTTTGCGAGTCTCACAAAGCTGACATTTAAAACAACTTCAACTTGATTTTTCACCTCCCAAAAACAATTCACGTGCACCGTCACTAGTATCCATAAATGAATTACTATTCAATTCATCTTTTCCTTTTAATTATGGATTATATGATCATGGCTTATGAGCATATGTTCTTGCCTTTGATGTGGTGTTGTGTTGTTTCTTACATGTTTTGGTTTTAGAAAAAACAAATATCTCATTTCATGTGAAACCCAAGGATTTGAATTCAAATGATAGTGACCATTTCTAACTTAAACTTCTTGAGTCTCTTTGGCATATAATTACACGGGTCCCTTGTCCCTAAATCCTTCTATCCCGATGCACTCTCAACTATAGAATCATGTTTCAAGATTCCTATATCTCGAGTTCGTTATGTGATTCTACAGCTGTGATTTCATGGAGATAGAGAGCTGTTTGGGGACTGAGGATCTTGGCTGCATATAATTTATGTGATTCGGATTGACCCCATTTTTTGTAACGGTGGTTTCAGATCAGTGGATTAGCTCAAAGATACCCTGGATTAATGTCGTTAAGAAGTGTGGATCTTTCTCCAGCTAGTTGGATGGCAGTTGCTTGGTCTCTCTCTCTCTCTCTCTACGTGCACATGAACTTGACAAACATGGTTTCCACTTAAAAGGATGCAAACTCATGTTTTTTCTGTCAAAGAATCTAGAAAGAGATCACACATATTGGTGTATCACCTTAAACCAACAACATATTGGCAAATACACTTGTGCTGTGTTTTAAATTTGGCTAATATTTATGTCATTTTTTTTGAAGAATCTAAAAAAGGAATAAATAATCAATTAATTTAATGGTGTTGATAATTTCAGGTACCCAATTTACCACATCCCGATGGGAAGGACCATCAAGGACTTGTCCACATGTTTCCTCACCTACCACACCCTCTCCTCTTCTTTTCAAGGTATTATTATTCTCCTTGGCCCTTTTGACTCAACTTTGATACATTATCTTTCATTTTCACCTTTCCTATTTAATTTCCTTTTCCCAAAATTCAATTTTGTATGTAAAAAAATAAAAACTAAATATGCATCGTAAACGTCTCTCTCAAAATTGGCAGATATGGAACTTGAAGATGACATGGTGGGGAGTGGCGAAAGGAAGCGAAAGGAAGGTGAGTGCATGTCACTCCCTCCATTTGGTTTGGCCACTTATAAGATGCAAGGGGGCAGCTTGTGGGTATCGGGCAGGTGTGGCCGGGACCAAGAGAGGTTAGTGTCACTTTTGAGCGTGGCTGATTCGTGGCTAAAGCAGTTGAGGGTCCAACACCATGACTTCAACTACTTCACGGGGATTCGGCGTGGCTAAAAAAAAAAAAAAAATATCACATAAGCTTCATGATTCACTCTCAACCCCACCAAAGTTTTTTCAACTGTTTGAGGAATCCTTTGGTTTTTTGGGCCTTTGGTTTTGTGGTGTTGTTTAATTTGGAGGAATGGCCTTAAAAAAAAATTAAAAAAAAAAAGAGAAGAAAAGAAAAAGAAGAAAAGAAAAAAGAAAAAAAAAAAAAAAAGAAGAGAAAAAAAAAAAGAAAGAAAAAGAGAGTGGGTTTAGAGTTGATGTTTTTTTCTCTTTGTTGAGCTTCAGGAATGGGCATGTTTACACAGCCCAAATCCATCTCTGAGATCTCTTTTCATCACAGCACATGATCAGACTAAAAGAGATGGAGGCTTGTATCTTTTTCTTGTCTCTGCTTTAAGAGTTTGTTGTTTTTGGTTTGTGGAGAGATTAGACAGTTTGATGAGATTAGAAATGGATGAGGAGAGAGGAAATAGTCCCCCCGGGGGGGCGCTCTTAAAGACTCTGAACTCTTGTCAATGGTGTAGTATTACATTCTAATGACCAATGATGGAGTCCTTGTATATGATTGCCTTTTTAGGGTTTTGCACAATTTTGTCCTACTCGTATGTGGTCGGTCATCAGCATGATCCATTCTCTTATATCTTTTAAAGTATAATTTTTTTATGAAAAGTATTTTTCGTAAAAAAAATTATCGTATATTTGATTCTGACTTTAAAGCTAAGTTTGGGAAGTCTCAAATAATTTATCTTTTTATCTTTTTTTTTTCTTCATCACATCACCTCTTTATTTATCTGCATATCTTTTCGTAAAAAGATAAAAAATGCACTTATTTAGGTCATCCTAAACAACTCCTAAAATTAATGTGCAGTTATGGGGTTGGGGTGGGTGGGTAGATTGAGGTGGTGGTGGTGGGGTGATGGAGATAGGTGTTGGCAAAAATTTCTAAACGGGGGAGAGTTAATTTAGGCGGCGGTGGTGTGGTGATAGATACGGGCATTGACAAAAGTTTAGGAGTAAATTATATTTTGTATCCTTGCACTTTGTAGTAAATTTTATTTTGATCCTTACATAGGAAATCATGACAATTAACTTTCTGCATTTTTGGTCAAATTTCATTTTGATCTTTACACATGAAATCATGGCAGTCAATCTCTTGTACTTTTATTCAAATCTCAGTTTGATTCCTATACAAATATTTGTCCTTATTTTGTTATTTCATTTTTAAATCTTTGACAAAATTCATTCATGTGATAAAAATGTGACTACAAAATGAGGGTAAGAGGAAAATGATCTATATTTCTTATCAATACACTTTGTTATACATCATAAGTACATTAGAGTTATAATATATATATATATATATATATGTTCATATAGTCAAAATTGAGACGAAAAGGTAAAAAAGTAGACCTTTTGAAATTAAAATATATATATATATATATATATGAGATAGAAATCAAAGAGAGAGAAAGATGAATAGACAAAAAACTGTGTTATCATGAAAAACAGAGTTTCGTGATATCAATTTATGCAAAATCTTAATTTATTTTTTTAATTGTTCACAATTTGCGTTTTGTTTTAGCCTAATATAGTTATATTTTGATGTAAATTTTGAGATAAAGTGTGTATTGATAGAAAATGTAGATGATTTTCTTTTCTTACTCTCATGTCATAATCACATTATTATACATGACTAGATTCTATTAAAGATTTAAACAATTGAGTATCAAAAAAGGGATATTGACACTTGTGTAGGGATTAAAATGAAATTTTGCCAAAAGTATAGAAAATTGACTATCATAATTTCATATGCCGGGATTGAAGTGGGATTGACTAGAAGTGTACAGATTAACTATAATAATTTCATGTGTAAAGGTTAAAGTAAGATTAAATGCAAAATGTAAGAAATACAAAGCGTAACTTATCCAAAATTTAGTTTGGAAAGTGTTATTAATCTTTTTAAAAATTGAATTTTTTTGTTCAAATAAATTTTTTTTATTGACTATGTGAAATGTTTTTTTAACTTATTATTATTATTATTATTATTATTATTATTATTTGTGGTATTCCAAATGACAAATAAACGGTGGGTCCTTAATGTTTGACAAAATGAGGGTGATTGATGATATCTCATTATCTTGTACGCTCGCAGCCCCTTGTTTTGTTCCATTACTAAAAAGTAAAGCTGAAGTTAAAATGCAGTTGGCCTTATGTGGTAGCCGGCTTGTTTTTGGAAGTTGACTTTTAATTATTTTTATTTGGTTTGTAAAAAAATTAAAAGTTAATTTTTTTTTAAATTTTTTTTATTTAAGAGGTTGGTTTTTAGTTAATAGTGAAATTATAATTCTACTTCTCATGGATCAAAATGTGTTATATGGGTGAAGTAAATATTTTAAATTAAATGGGAGTAGTTTGGTCATTTTATTATAATTGGACATCATAAACAAATATTAATAAAAAAAATCAAAATTTACTTTTTACCAACTTCTTAAATCATTTGTCTAAAAAAGTCAAAAACTTGGTTAAAAATCAAAAAAATCACTTTTTACCATCTCCTCAAAATAGGCCTTGTCCTGTTGGAGGGTAAAAATGTCAACATGTGTCCAAATCCATTCTCTCTCTCCCTCTCTCTTTATATATATATATATATATATACATATATGACTCGCCGTTATCCACAAGTAAAGCCACTAGTCCTGTATTTATGCAAACGTTACAAGAAACTATTCTTCTAAAGTAAGATAACAGTAACTCATTTCAGTATAGTAATTTCTGAATATCTGTATTTACTTGGAAGATATGTATATTAAGGCGCGGTTTGGTTTGGGATTTGGATTTGAGTAAAAAATAAAAGTTATTCTAAGGCTTCTTTTGGAATAAGTTTTTTTTATTAATTTTTTAGTTTTTTAATTAAAATATGGCATAAAAAAAAAAATAGTATGTTTGAAATAATTTTTTAATTTTTTACAAAAAAAAATATGTAAAAAGTAAAAAAAATAAGAAATTTTTTGATTTTTTATATAAGTGATTGACTTTTTAATTTTTTTAATACCTTTTTAATTGTTAAGCTAAAAAATGACGTTTTCCTCTCTCCTTTTTATATATCTTTTCATATAACATCACTTTTTTCTCTACTCTTGACATCACTTTTAAATGTCAAGATAGATGAATGGTAATATCACAATTAACGAAAATATAATACAAAAACAGAAAGCCTTTTTTTGTTCAGCTCCCTAGAAAATATTTTATAGAATAATGTTTGAGGGCCCGAAATTAGTGGCCTGAATGTGGGTCAAAACCCAAAACGACGTCGTTTTGGGTTTTGATTTTTTTAGGTTTGTTATTTTAATAGGTTGTTTTAAGTTGTTTGGCATAATAGGTTGGTTATTTAATAGGTTGTTTTAGGTTGTTTGGCATAATAGGTTGTTTTAGGTTTGTTATTTTAATAGGTTGTTTTAAGTTGTTTGGCATAATAGGTTGGTTATTTAATAGGTTGTTTTAGGTTGTTTGGCATAATAGGTTGTTTTAGGTTTGTTATTTTAATAGGTTGTTTTAAGTTGTTTGGCATAATAGGTTGGTTATTTAATAGGTTGTTTTAGGTTGTTTGGCATAATAGGTTGTTTTAGGTTTGTTATTTTAATAGGTTGTTTTAAGTTGTTTGGCATAATAGGTTGGTTATTTAATAGGTTGTTTTAGGTTGTTTGGCATAATAGGTTGTTTTAGGTTTGTTATTTTAATAGGTTGTTTTAAGTTGTTTGGCATAATAGGTTGGTTATTTAATAGGTTGTTTTAGGTTGTTTGGCATACAGTCCCGCTGCATACTCTCAGTGGGGGTCGCGCCCCCAGTGACGTGGCGCGCCTCCACTGGCTGAAAACTCAAAAAAAAAAAAAAAAAAAAAATTATTTTTTTTTGGGGCCAATCCCGGAGTGACACCTCACTGGGGGTCGACCCCAATGGGGGTAGGAAGCATTTTTGATATGTTTATTAGTTTAAGGGCATTAATTTTTTTTTTGGACAAAATTACTTTGGGAGATTTGGTGAAAACCCTCTTATAATAAAATTTTAATTCATTAAAGACAAACATAAAAAAATTTTCTTAAAAAGTCTAATACATACCACTATTATTAAAATATTAAACTGTAAAATAATATAACTTTTGATCTATATGTCAATTTTTAATAAAATTAGTATTTTTAAAATTTTTTCATCAAGATCTATCAAATAAGTTTTATGTTAACTATGAAATTCTTAAAATAAAAAAAAATTATTACTGTTGAAATTGATGTAAATTGTAACGTATTATTTTATTTGACAATAACATATTACTCTGACAATATTGTTCAAGAAAAAAAGAAGATATTTTACTTTGTCCTTATTCAATTATGTGCCTCTTTCTTGGGGGATTTATGAAGTAAAATAAATTGAGTTGTCATTTTCACCAAATAAAAGTCCAATGGAGGGGTTTTGACTAAATTTCCCAATTACATGTAGTTAAGTTTTGTTATTCTACCATCTCCAACTAGCACTGCCACTGCCACTTTTGGTTGCCACCTCCGGTTGTTAGCGACCACCTCTGACCATCGGCGACAACTTTCAATGATCACCGCTAGTTAGGAGTGAGTAGCGGATATACTGATCCACCAAAACTGTGAGAACCCGAATATACAAATCAAGTAAATAATTAAATAATAATAATATTACAATCCCAAATATTTTGGTGGTAAATCTTAAAATGCAAATTAAATATTTAAAAGGTCTTTTAATTAATTTTTAAACCTAAAATAAATTTATGGTGAAAGTATTTAATTTAGAGGCAAGATTTATTATTCAAAAAAAAAATAGAGGGTAAGTTTGAAAGTATATTTTGTTATATTAATAGTTATATTTTATTTAAATTAATGGGTTAGAAAAAAAATAATATAAAGAGATAATAAACTAGAGCTTTTTGTTTAGATACATAACCCTAGGTTGCCTAATACATTCTATAGCAGTAGCGGGAGGCAACCACGGGGGAGAGAGAGAGAGAGATTGAGAGAAAAGAAGAAGAAAAAAAAGGGGTTGCAAATAAGGATGGATTTTTGGGTGTGTACTAGGTCTTTATCTTTTTTCTTCCTTTTGGTTTTGTTTTTATCCTTATTCCATTATTATTTTATTCATTCATGGAGGTTGTAGGTTTATATATTTTGTATATATATATACTGTTAAGAAATTTGAGGAGTTAAATTCATGTATAAAGAATGTGTATTATTCTTAGTTAAAAAATTCTGTGCATAATCACGAACTTTAAAAATCAAGAAACCATATCAAACGGATGAATTTTGAATTGAAACTTTTACAGTAGATCAGTTACATATTGAATTGCATATCTGAATTTTTTCATAATTTTTGGGAGTCAAAATCCATATAAATTAAGGTATTCAAATCTGTCCAGGAAACCAGTCCGAAATAGTAAATTCGGGAGTGTTGTTCTCTTTGGGTATAAATCCAAAAATTATCAAATTAGTGTCATTAGAACCGGTTACGAGTCTAGTTTCATAAGTTTTTGGCTTTGCATTGATT